ATTTGAATTCTTCTTGGCTTAATTGATTGATTTGAGATTAGTCTTGCTTGAACCGTTGTCCTTGCTCGTTTGTTTGTTTTTCTTTCCTTTTCTTTTCTTTTTGTTCGGGACGAACAAGGGTTTTAGTGTGGGGGAGTTGTTCGTTCCACTTTTGTCATGTTTTTCTTCTTTATTTCATGCTTGTTTTTCCCCTACGTAGGTATTATTCTTTGGTTTTTGGTCTGTATCGAGTCGTTTTGTGCATTTCCTTTGTTTTAGTGGTTTTTGGTCTTTTTGTTCGTTTTTTCCCGGTTTTCCGTATTTCTTGTCGGAGGTGATGTGCAGGTTTGGTGGCTCGGTGCATGGCCATGCGAGGTCTACTGTTTAGATGGATGAGTTGGGGTCGTGTTGGAGAAGACGGGATCAAATTCCGAGTCCGGATGTGAGAAGACGAACCGAAAACACGACGTGCAGAAATGCTTCACCGCGGCCGCGGAGAAGAGGAGGTCGCGGCCGCGAGATGCCCGTAAATTTGATTTTCTGGCCCGTCGAGCTCGCGACCGCGAGATGTTCTTCGCCGCGGCCGCGGGGGTCGCGACAGCAGATTTTTATTTTGCGAGTTTGTTCAGTTTTTCATTATCGGGGGACCTAGGTGTTTGAACCTCTCTCGTGTTTTTTCACTCCAGAACATATATTTCTCTTAGATTTTCATAGGATTTGATCTTGGATTGTGAAAACACCAAGATTTGACTTTTGGATTCGGATTGCTCGTTGTTTCTTCAACATTGGATTCGTATTTATCGTAAGCTTTTCTCTTATTTCATTGATGAGTGATATGTCTTTGCTTGATATGAATGTTGATGTTGAACTTGTGATGAGTAGCTAAATTCGTTAACTAAGGCTAGGGGATAATTGTTCCGGTTCAATTTCGTTTGTATGAATGTTGATTGCTCAAGCTATTCGAGTTGTGCTAAATCTAGGGTTGAATTGATTGATCACCTTTTTAATCCACTAAATCGATCCTTAGAACCGAAAGGGGAGGGATGATTGATCTAGGCTCGTTTAGAATAGACTTGTTCGGAGACGTATTGTCTATGTGCTGATTGATTCGATAATTGTTCATTTATGTTTGTTCTCTTGTTATGTGAGTTATTGAGGATGAATCTCTGAATGAGTGAGTTTTTTGTGTCCTTTGGCCGAGTGATTGATTGTCATTTAATGTATTGAGAACCGGAAACGATTGTCCCCGACTCCCTACTCATTCTTATCATTCTTTGAATTGTGTTTTTGGAGTGTCAAATTGGAATTTCTTGTTTGAGTACCATTAGTTGTTAATCGCGTAGTTGATAATTCAAACCAACCAATTGAGCTAGAGTGTTTAGGATTTAATTTCTCTTTTTGTGATTGAATATACATATAAGATAATCCGGCTAACTTTCCTTGAGACACGACCCGGTGTTCGAATCTTTTGATTCCACTCCGGTAAAATAAACTACAACACCCATTCTCATGGCCGTATCACAGAGTCCTATGCATTCTTATAAATCAAAATCCTTTAAAAAAACTCTACAAGATCTTACTAAATTAAATATATAATAATCATGTCTCTCAATAATGGTGGAAAAAATAAGGATATGGATAATGAATATGATTATTGGTAAGTAAAGGCAAATAATCTCCTATCATTCTGGAAAAAAAAGGGCAAATAATCTATAATGGGTGTGCAAAGAACAAACAAATATATAAAAATTGGATAATGAGTATGGTTGGTTAATAAAAACAAATAATCATGTTCCACATTTAATTTATCATATAATATGATGAGTATGGTTGGTTAATAAAAACATTCTCATATAATATGATGAATATGGTTGGTCAGTAAAAACAAAGTCATTGTTCCACATTTAATTCATCATATAATTTTATATAGTAATTAGCTGGTTATAGTTATGGTCAGTGTTCCACATATAATTCATCATATAATTTTATAGAATAATTAGCTTGTTATGATTATGATTAATAAACAAAGGTAAATAATTAATGATATTTAGGGTATGCTTGGTAACTATATAAATTAGCTTATAGTTTATTTGGTTAGCTTATAAACTTCCTATATTCAAGTAAGAATTGAGTTTTTTTTAAAAAGCTCGAGTTTATCTCATAAGCTTTTTTGGGTATCTTTTCAAATAAGCTCGTCGAAATTTTTATTTCAACTAGTCTGCCAGCTAATTTTATCAAACACTTTTATCATATAAACTAGCTTTTTAGTTATAAGTCCTAAGCTATAAGCTATAAGCTCGAAAATCACATATAAACATTAAACAATAAAATAGTTTATCAGCTAATTTTAACAAATGAAAACAAAAACCAAGAATAGAAACTCTATCTATTATTTTTGTTAACTGATAAATATGTTAAAACCTTTTTTTTAATATGCCTCTTGTTGTTAAAAAAAAGAAAAAAAAAAAAGACTCTTTAGATATGCATTTACTTGATAATAAAAAATACATACTATATTATTTTTGTGATAAATATTTTAAAAGAAACGAGGGATGTCATTTTCTCGATAAAATCACGAAAAATGAAATGGGCCGTATCAAAGCCCATCCAAGTAGGTTTCCTTCATCCACTACAGGTGACCTCTGTGTTAACAACATCATGATTCGTTTGAGTTGTTTTCTTATGAGATCTTTTGTTAGTTCATCGAATAGGATGATTATAGGGGACGTAGGTTTCTTTTCTAATAATAGAATGATAATAAGCAGCAGCAGAAGAAGCAGAACAGATAATAAATGGCATTATGTTGCGACGAATTTTTCTTCTGATGACAATAATAAATCGGATTATGTTGCGAGGAATTCTTATTCTGATGATAATAATAGGAGCAGCGTTAAGTCGCCTTGGCTTATGCTCCCTTCCTTGGTGGAATCCGGCAACATGTTGTATTATAATTTCTACAATTTGGCAGAATCCCAAATAGAGAGAATAAGATCAACATTGGAAGGAGAGGATATTGATGCCAAATTTGTGGGTTCGTCTCACGGGTGGATAGTTGTGCTGAACCGGCGCAACCACGGGCTGCTCCTCTGGAACCCCATCACTGAGGTACGCATAAACCTTCCATCCCTCCTCACCTTGCCCGATCCCCAAATTAACTGCTGTGGGATTGTATCCAAGCTCATACTCTCCTGCTCCCCCGACCACCACGTAGATCAATGTCGTGCCATGATGATTTTTGGACCCTTTAACAGGCTGGCTTTCTGCCAGCCCGGCCGCAGCACCCACTGGACCCCAATCGGCCATTTGTATTGGACTAAGTATTTGTATTGGGAGGCAAGCCACCACACCGACGAGGAGGACGACTATGCGAGGCGGTACACCGATTGCGTGTATTCCCCCACACACAAACTCTTCTTCTGTTTTGTGATGTGGAGATTGGAGTGTTGGGATCTTGGGGACCTCGAGTGCCCCAGGATTTGTTGGTCGGAGATTGTATATTATACGCAAGGGGTTGCTAGTGAAGAAGAGATGTTTGGCATCTGTGCCGCTGGGAGATTACCGGATTTGATGAGACAGCAATTCCTTGTGGTGGCAGAGCAGACGAATCAGCTTTTCCTCTTGGATCAGCACGTATGCTTACGGATGGGCCCTGTCGGTAGATATCGTCCGCATATCTACTTTGGTAAGTATAGGGGTTGGGATGACAAATTCCCCCACCAAACATTTGCTTTCGATGCTTTTAAAGTTGACTATATTTCGGGGGACGGCACTCAGCCCAAGCTTATTAAGACTAGCATGGAGGGTTCGCTGGATGGGCTGGCAATGTTTATTGGCAAGAACCACTCCTTTGCCATCTCCGCACCAACCAACCATGGCCTAGAAAAAGATTGTATTTACTTTACTGACACAAATAGACACCAGCCTCCAGCGGGCTCCATCTTTGGGGGCCACGATATCGGCATTTATCATTACGCGACCAGAACATTTTCTGATTGCTTTTATCCACGGGACACCAACAAAATAAAGAAGATTGTGCCTGCACCCATGTGGTTTACTCCCAACGAGAGCACGCACTAACGTATGATTTAGCAAATTATCCTAGATACTCTGTTTTTCTGCTCAGGAACAATTTATCTATTTTTTCTTTTATTTATATATATTCCTGCCCACTGAGACACCGATTCGTAGTTTGTACGTCATTAAGCAACATGAATACAAGACTCAACTATCCCTTTTCCTCTCCCCATACCCTAGGCCAACAAACATAAACTTTTCTTTATCTCCCTTCAACTATCTCTTGTGGGTGATTCTACTATCATGTAAGCTTGTACTGACTTAACAACAGGTACATCTTAAATGAATGTCATGTGTCGTTTTTGTTATTAAATTAAATAAAAACTCGAAATATTGGTTACTGAAATACGAAAATGCCCTTGTACTAGGTACAAGGGTATAAGGTGTTGAACTTTTCTAATATTAACATTTAGCCTAAACATAATTACATATATCAAATAAACCAACAATTAATCCAAAATTTCATTTCGAAATATCTTCTGCAAATAACAACTCGAAGATCTTCTGCAAAATTTCATTTTCAGAATCGATAATTTGAAGAACAACTCGAAGGTAAATAATTTGAAGAACAACCCGAAGATAAATAATTTTGTTTCCAGTTTCGATAACTGAAGAACAACATTATGTGAAAGATGTTTTCAATTTCTTGTTCTTCATTCATTTTACCTTCCAATCATGTGGTAATGTGCATCCGTCATTTTGCTTTGCATCCGTGAGTTATAAGACATAGATACGATGAATGTTGTAATGAGAATTTGTCTATGTTAATCTTGATAATTCATTGATATTGTTTTTTAATCATAAAGAAGCACATTAGATTTTTGACGAAATGTATGAACAGACCCTGAAGATGCAAAACCAATGAGCAGCAAAATACAAGTTGCCAAAAATTACAACCGAACAAGTTGTTTGTTATTGTTGTTGTAGTCATAAACAATGTTTATGACATCAATTTAACATTTTAGAATATGATCATGAGCTTTAGTCATAAACAAGCACAAAATATTCTTTAAAATGCAACTTGATATACATGTGATATTCATCTTTGATTTTGTCAAAACAAATCTTATAAAATCGGTGAAGTCAAAATTTGTACGTAAAGTCTATCTGTACTAAAAAAAGGTAGATTCAAAATTCTTTATCTAATTTCTTTTTTTCCTTATCTAATTCATTCTTATTATCTAATTGTATAGAAATCTGTTCTGATTTTGTGTAATCCTCTAATTGTATTTGTATCATATCCGATAAAATCGGTTTAACAAAATAAATCCCATAACATCCGATAAGTAAAAAAAAGTACGTAAAATCTTTATTAAAATAAAAAGGCTTTATTTATTATCTAATTTATTATCTAATTGTATGAAAATCTGTTCTGATTTTATATTACGTACTACAAATTGTGCACCCGTGTTCAGGAGCTACTTAACCGGCAAGTTATGTGGAAATAACTCATTTAGTGCTTCTGTCCCGTGCATACGGTATGTATTTGTATTACACATACTAGAAAATTGTGCACCCCGTACATCGCACGGACTCTGTACTAATAAATGACCTTAAAATTGTGCACCCCGTGCATCACCCGTGTTCACATTTTGGCCTATTACAGGTCACGTACTATATATACCCTGTACATTTTTCTTTATTCATTTATATAATTATAAAACTTGATAAATAGCCTTAATTTTGTGCACCCCGTGCATCGCACGGGATCTGTACTAGTTCTTTTATGATGTCGAAGATCAGATTAAACTGCGACCACAGAGTATACTAAGAATATCCCAAATAAATAAAATAGGCAAGAAATAAGACACCAAGATTTAACGTGAAAAAACCTCCAATGTAGAGGAAAAAACCACGGGACAACCTCCGAACAATTCCACTATATATTCACGATAATTACAATATCTTTTCCACGTGGACCTACTGTTGATACACAATTTTGGCCTCGCTTTTTAAAATATTACACCTGGATATGTATTAACTCAATTGTTTTATTTTAGGGCCTAAAAATAATACCGCTTGTGATAATATTGGGTCCATTAAATATATATATATATATATATATAGAGAGAGAGAGAGAGAGAGAGACAGAGAGAGAGAAAGAGAGAGAGAAAGTTATGATCATATGAGAATGATAAAATGACTATGAACCATTGGATTCATCAACTCAATGGCTATGATCAAGTCAAACATTATTAATATCAGTCAAACATTAGATGGCAGTGTGGTAAATAAGTCAACTCTCTCCCTCCCACATCAGTTTCTCTCTCTCACACACACACACAATCAAAACATACACACACTGACGCACACATACTCTGCACATTGCGCGCACACACACACACACACACACATCACACTGCACACACACAATCGTTTCACACACACATTCGGACCTTCAGTCCGCCGCCGCAGTCGCCGGAGAAGTCGCCACCGCCTCGTCCATCGACATCCCCGACCTCCGCCAGATCCATCGACCCCGCCACCGTCCTCAGTTGGACCCCAGATTGACCACCGCACGCACCAGGTCTCTACCCCACCGAAGTCTCAGTCCGTCGCCGCCGTCTTCCCGACCCATCTCGTCGCCGTCTTCTCGGCAGCGGAGAGTATATACTGAAATTATATTTTGCTGGTGAAATCGAGGTGTTCGATGATGGAGGCGTCTGACATCGGAAAGGTGGTTGAAATGTGTTCGCCGGACGGTGAAGGTCCTCGGTGGCCGCATGATGATGTCCCCGACGGCGACCAAATTGAATGTTTAGGAAACGAAGTCTATTTGCAGATTTAGATTTTAGAGTAGGGACTTAGTTTTGTAAATTTAAAAAGACTTAGGGCCATAGGTGTAGTTTCAACAATTTTTCGTATATTACAATTGAGTTTCTGGGTTAATTTGTAAATAATTAAAATATAATTAATATTTTTAATATCCTCATTTAATGTTTGGTATTTTGTATTTGTTATGACTTATGACCAATTATTAATAATACTTTATATAAAAAATATAATTATAGAATTAATATTTTTTATATAGTTCGGTTGTTCGATTATCTAAATAAAAAAATTTGATATTGAACCGGCATAATCAACTTTTTAAATTTAAAAAAATGGCAATTGAAATGAGATTTAAAAAATTGAACTAAGATTATTAGCTTGGTTGAAACAAGTTGATATTGTGCAATCCAAGAGTCAGTATTGTGCAATTCGTACAACATTAATATGCAATCGCAATACGTAAAATTATATAAAATAACAATAATATTTTCACATAATTCGGTTGTTTCAGTTATTTTTAAATAAAAAATATAATTATAGAATTAATATTTTTTATATAGTTCGGTTGTCTGGTTATCTAAAAAAAAAATTGATATTGAACCGGCATAATCAAGTTTTTAAATTTAAAAAAATGGCAGTTAAAAAATTGAACTAAGATTATTAGCTTGGTCAAAACAAGTTGATATTGTGCAATCCAGTAGTCAGTATTGTGGAATTCGTACAACATTAATGTGCAATCGCAATACGTAGAATTATATAAAACAACAATAATATTTTTCACATAATTCGGTCGTTTCAGTTATTTCGGTTATTTAAAAAAAAATATAATTCTGACACCGAACTAAATAATTGTGATTTAAAAATGAATATACCTAATCAAACTAAAATATAAAATTTCAAATAAAAAAATTTAATTCGTTCGTATCAGTAGCTATTATGTAATTTGAGAGTTACTGATGTGCAAACCTTCTATTACTATATATTGTGCACTCATAGTGCATTCAAATTTTATGATTCGAACTCTAAAAATGAACGGACATAATCGATTATATTCTATCGGTTAATCAAAATACCATAAATAATCAAAATAATTATTTAGTTATATTATAAAAATATAGTTAATCTTTTAGCATTATATGTATACATATTTTGAAAAGACCTAAAATGAATATGCAAAAAAAAATAAAAAATATAACAAAATATATTAAAATATTATGTCGATCTTTTTCTTTTATGTATGTTGCGCGGTATTTTATTGTGGGATTTCGTGATAAGGTGTAGTGTGTTATTTAATAAAGTACATCGTGTTGTTTTATAAAGTGCAATATGTATATATATAAAGTGCACATTTGAGTACGGATCATCAGCAAAAAGGAGGTGGGAAACGGAGACCCCATCTTTAGAGTATGGGACCTTTTTGACCTTCGCTTCCTCACAGATTTGTAAGAGCAAGGATAGACATTCCATAACAATGGAAAAGAAATAGGTCAATTACATCGAGCCTTGCCTGAGACCTCTACTACTGGGGAAATAGGCGTGGAGGGTAATTGAGAACAATGGAATATTTTAGGGTAGTAATGCGGGCCCTTATTCATTCGATCCATTTATGAGGGAAGCACATAGCCAGCATGGCAGCTTCTAGGACAGTCAACACTGTCGAACACTTTCCTCAGGTAACCCTTTACAGTAAGTAAAAGTAAGCTATCCAGTACTACATGCAGCGTGTTGCTCAATAAAATGCAACGTGTTATTTTATAAAGTGCAGTCTACTGATATATAAAATGCAATACTTTATATGATTCTAGATAAATTATGTGTATTCAAAAATTAGTTTTAGTAGATATAATTACGCATCGAATTACAGTACATGATTGAAATATTTTTATTATTTAATAGTATTCATATTTATCATTTTTTATTAATTAATACATATGTATAAAAAAAATATAAAAACAATTTTTTTTATTAACTTTCAATTATTACACATTGGGCATGAGGCCTGAATTGAAATAAAACTAAAATCTATAAAATTGCAATTAGGTATTGAACCCTTTCTAATTTTCAGAAAAAACACCCAAGCTCAATTAAGCCAGGCAGTGGTCGGGATTATCCTCCAGGCGCGGATCTCCGGCCAAGTTGACTCTATCGGAGACAACACTCTGCACAACCGCACCAGGAGCTTCTTGTTCGGGGTTGATGGAAGGTCGATTTGGTAGCTATTGGAGGTCGCCGGAGTTAGGCAAAGGCGGTGGAGGGCTAACAGTTGTGTCGAGGTTTTCCCCGAATAGAAAGTCGCTGAAGATGAATCGAGACGGCCGATGAAAGCACTGTGGCGACGGAGGAAAGACGAGAATTTGCAGAGGAGTTCGGCGGCAATGCTTGCGCGACGACGGCGGATCCGTGACGGAGGCTAAGTTGTGACGTTGGCGGCGAATATGGACGGCCGAAGGTTCCGCCGGTGAGTGTGGGTGTTCCGCCGGTGATTGTGCGTGTTCAGCCGGCGATTGTGTGTGTGCGTCTCCTGCGTGTGTCTGTACTGCGTGTACTGTGCCTTGAGAACCTCCGTATGGACAGAAACTGTTTTGGTCGCCTGTGTTTCCTCCTTGAAAAAAAGGGGGTCTTGTTCAATCTAGAAACATTGCACCGAGTGAACAAGTTGCTATGTTTCTTTCAATCCTCGTACATCACAAGAAAAACGTCACGTTGAAGTTTGATTTTACGAGATCCGGTAAAACTGTAAGCAAGTACTTTAACCGTGTACTTGATGCGGTAATCCGCCTTTACACCGACCTAGCCGCCACACCTAAGCCAATCGAGGATGATTGTTCAAATGAAAGGTGGAAATGGTTCAAGGTAGCCTAGCTGACAAGACCCTTAACATTGCTTAGTCAATTTTGTCTTCTCTAGTTCTTCCAAACTAACACTCTTTTTTTTATTCCTTTTTGCTCGTTAGGGGTGTCTAGGAGCACTAGATGGTACATACGTTAACGTTCGAGTCCCGTCAAAAGATAAGGGAAGATATAGGAATCGAAAGGGTCAAGTAGCAGTGAATGTACTTGGGGCGTGCGATAGAAATATGAACTTCATCTACATGCTTTGTGGTTGGGAGGGGTCCGCTGCGGACAGTCGAGTACTTAGAGATGCAATCACTAGGAAAATTCGCTCCGAGTCCCAAACGGTATCCCCCCTACTTATAAACATTACATATGTAAAATAGCACTCTTCCGATAAAACATTAAATCAAACATAACACAATCATTTTAAACATAGGAAACTATTATTTGGTGGACGGTGGTTACACTAATGGTCCTGGCTTTCTAGCGCCATATAGGGGTGTGAGATATCACTTAGATGAATGAGGTACAGGGCCCCGCGCTCCACGAAACTTTAGAGAACTGTATAACCTTCGGCACGCCAAAGCTAGAAACGCGATTGAACGTGCTTTTGGCATTCTAAAAATGCGTTGGGCAATTCTTAGGAGTAACTCTTTTTACCCCATTCGGACCCAAAATCGCATTATTATGGCATGAGCGCTTATTCACAATTTTATACGTAACACAATGCCCGAAGACCCCATAGAGAATGAGATTCCAGAATTCCCTATACCATCCAACGCATCATGTGAGGACGACTACATAGATCAAGTGGAAGGCAGCCAGGAATGGACACAAAAGCGCGACCTCTTAGCCCAACAAATGTTCGCAGATTGGCAGGGCGGTGTTCCCTAACGGATAAACAAACATAATTTTTTTGTACCCAATAATGTGTACTTTCATAATAATCTTCTCAAACAAAGTAATTGTGATAAATGTTCTTATCGGCAATGTTTATTTTTTATTTTTTGTTTAAGTCAGGTTGTTGGAAATGTTGTTATGTTGATTATCGGCATTCGATATTTTTGTGTTTGTGGTTTTCCTATATATTTCTTCTTGTGCATTATATCATAATTTTGTTTAACGTCATTTTTCATATACTGGAAATTCTGTATTATCCAAAAAAATAAAAAAAAAATAAAAGAAATTGCTACAAAACTATTGTCGCCACAGGATATTTGTCATGGAACCGTCAGCTACATCGGATACCGGGAAAGAGGGCGGCTCCACCTCAAAACGCCGTGTTTGGACAAGGGCAGAAGAGCGTGCCCTAATTAATGCTCTGAAGGAGATTGTAGTCGAGGGTTGGAAGACAGAAAATGGCTTCAGAACGGAATACGCATTTGTTTTGGAAAAAAAAATGAAGAAGTTCCTTCCAGGATGTGAAATTCGTGCGGAGCCGCACATATCCTCGAAAATGCATGTCTGGAAGAAGACTTATGCGAGTCTGGCACTTTTAAAATCAAACAACTCCGGAATGGGTTGGGATGATATTACAAAAGGCTTCTTTTGTGAAGATGAGAAGTGGGCGTCCTGACTTAAGGTTGGCTTGTACTTAAAATTCCAACATTGACTCGTCTATATATTTCGCATAATATACTTATCCTCATCCCATTTTTTGCTCCCCAAAACATGGTCAATAGGTGGATCCTAATGCAAAAGGTCTAAGGAACAAGTCTTTCCCCCACCTAGATGACTGGTATGAAATCTTCGGGAAAGACAGAGCCTCTGGCGCCGATGCCCAATCTTTCGGAGACGCAGCCCAGGATGTCCAACAGGACACACCTTATGAAGCAGACAATGACATCACATTGCAGCCCACACAGCAC